CTTTTTTATTTTTTAGTGGGAATAGGATATCTACTTGATAGGTTTACTGATGCAAAGATTAAATAGGCTGATGCATGTACAGCCTTAGTACAAAACCAGGTTCAGAGAAATTCAGCGACAAACAGAATAATAATAGGCCGGGCACGGTGCCTCATGCCAGTAACACCAGCACTTTGGGAGGCAGAGGCAGGCAGATCACCAGAGGTCAGGAGTTCGAGACCAGCCTGGCCAACATGGCAAAACCCTGTCTCTACTAAAAATAAAAAATTAGCTGGTCATGGTGGCATGGGCCTGTAATCCCAGCTACTCAGGAGGCTGAGGCAGGAGAATCGCTTGAATCCAGGAGGCAGAAGTTGTAGTGAGCCGAGATCGAGCCACTGCACTCCAGCCTGAGCAACAGAGTGAGATTCTGTCTCTAAATAAATAAATAAGTAAGTAAAAACAGAATAATAATAAATAGTGAGAGGTATTATTAGATCCAGCTGGCCTGGCACATGCTTGGCATATGTCTCTAATTTCTGCCACTGATGCCAGTCTCCCCTACCTTTAATTTCACTGGTCACTTTAGAGAATACGGAAATAGGAGGATTGTTAACTAGGTCCACTGGCTCCATATTATCATTTTGCCCAGGAGTTTCTCTTTACATGTTTGGGCTGGTTTCTGTAAGTATAAGAAAATAAATTGATTTTCAAACATTTATCTTAATTTAATTTTATTTTTTGAGATTAAGTCTCACTCTATGGCCCAGGATGGAGTATAGTGACACCATCTTGGCTCACTGAAACCTCTGCCACCTGAGTTCAAGCAATTCTCCTGCCTCAGCCTCCCTAGTAGCTAGGATTACAGGTGTGTGTACCACGCCCATCCAGTTTTTCTATTTTTAATGGAGACAGGGTTTTGCCATGTTGGCCAGGCTGGTCTTGAACTCCTGACCTCAAGTGATCTGCCTGCCTCTGCCTCCCAAAGTGCTGGGATTATAGGTGTGAGCCATCGTGCCCAGCCAAACAGTTGTTGATAGTGGTATCTTTTTTAAATTTTGTAATTTAATTACTTATTATTTATTTATTTTGGGGGACAGTGTCTTACTCTGTCACCCAGGCTGGGGTACAGTGGTATGATCATAGCTCACTGCAGCCTCAAACTCCTTGGCTTAAGTGATCTTCCTGACTCAGCCTCCCAAGTAATAAGCACATGCCACGACTCCCAACCAGTGTTTTTTCTAAAAAATTTTTATTTTCTTTTTTAATTTTTGGTAGAGATGGGGTCATGCTGTGTTGCCCAGGCTGGTTTTGAACTCCTGGGCTCAAGTGATCCTCCCACCTGGGCCTCCCAAAGCATTGGGTTTATGGGCATGAGCCACCATGCCTGGCCAATAATGGCATCTTTACCTCAAACCTAGTTTAACAAAGAATACATTTCTCCTTTCTCTTGTATGTACATGTGAACTATTTATGATAAAAGGAGTTGACTGGGCAGGGTGGCTCATTCCTCTAATCCCAGCACTTTGGGAGGCAGAGGCGGGAGGATCACTTGAGCCCAGGTGTTCGAGACTAGCCTGGGAAACACAGCAAGACCCCACCCCCATCTCGCTATTTTAAAATTTTTTTAATTTGAAAAATTATTAATACAAAAATTAAAAAGTAGTTACCTTGTTAAGAAAATGTCTTACTTCCTTTGTTTTAATCTTGTTTGTTGTTTTTACTGTTTTTAAGTTAGCTAGGGCTGTTTAATTTCATCAAATTTGGTTTCAGCATTTATTGAAATTATGTCTATTTTGCACTTTTGTTTCCTTGACCTTGTGACAGACATGATATATAGAGATTTTCCCAGAGCTCCCCTTGGAAATGAGTAGCTAACAAACTACTTTATGTTCAAAGTAGTGGCAAAAGGATTGGACCGTGCAATAAAGAACATGAGGACAGTGAGACATCCGTTCAGGGGAAAATTGAAGTTTGATTCCTTCCTTGCAACCACATAACACTTTTAAGTGGATTAGACATTAGACCTTGAGGAAACCTTAAAACTGTTTGAAGAAAATACAGAAAAATATCTGCAGCCTTGATTCGAGGAATCATAGTCAAGTTGTAAACTCTGTAAGTCATAAAAGAAAATACTGAGAGATTTGGTTACCTAATATTTAAAACTTCTGAACGAGGAAAGACTCCACCAAGAAAGTTAAAGACAACGGAAGGCTGGGAGAAGATATTGCCAACATATATGACAGACATTACATTAATAATCAGATTATAGAAAGGAAAGGAAGGAAAATAGAAAAAAGTAATTGAAGAGGCAAATAAAGCTTAACCTCACTTATAATAAATAGTTTGTAAATAAAATAACAACTTTTATTTGGTAACTTTTTCCGTCATCAAGCTGTCAAAATTTTAACTGATAAATATCCGGTGTTGGAGAATGTAGGTGACCGCTAGGTTTACACTTCAGCTAACTGCAATCCAGAAGTATTTATGTAAATGGCGCCCCCTGCAGCCCAGTTCCTACCGAGACCAACATATACTCCGGTTCACGTTGAAACAGCGCTGAAAGACTCCTGTCCCTCCTGTGGGCTTAGTGACAATTTGAGGAACAGTTTTTGGCCTACCTGGCAAAACGTAAAATGCCCTTTGACACATGATTCTTCTTCCAGCCTTTCAGAAATACATGAACTATGTACATAAAGATATATGCAAAAGTATGTTTATTAAAGCATATTTTATATTGGAGGAAAAAAGCAATCTACATGCACATCAATAGGGACTGTTTGGACAAATAATCCTGCTTGTATCCATTCAATGGGATATTTTGTAACTCTTAAAGGAATGAAGTGGAATTATCTGTGCAACCTCCGCCTCCTGGGTTCAGGCAATTCTCCTCCCTCAGCCTCCTGAGTAGCTGGGACTACAGGTATGCGCCACCATGCCAAGCTAATTTTTTGTATTTTTAGTAGAGACTGGGTTTCACCATGTTGACCAGGATGGTCTCGATCTCTTGACCTCGTGATCCACCTGCCTCAGCCTCCCAAAGTGCTGGGATTACAGGCATGAGCCACCGCATGCAGCCTGTTCTCTTTTTTTTAAGACAAAGTTTTGCTCTGTTGCTCTGGCTGGAGTGCAGTGGTGCAATCTTGGCTCACTGACACCTCCACCTCCTGGGTTCAACCGATTCTCCTGCATCAGCCTCCCGAGTAGCTGGGACTAAGGAGTAGCTGGCGCCCAACACCACCACACTCTGCTAGTATTTTGTATTTTCAGCAGAGATGGCGTGTCACCATATTGGCCAGGCTGGTCTCAAACTCCTGACCTCAGGTGATCCACCCACCTTGGTATACCAAAGTCCTGGGATTACAGGCTTGAGCCACTGCACCCAGCCAAGATTTAATGTTATGGCTGAGATAAACATGAATGAAAGCCAATCTTCAAAATATCTCTTATTTGATCTTATGTATATACATTTGCGTCTAATTATACATTAGACAGATGAGGAATGCATGGAACTGGAACAGGCACAGCCTACCAAGCCGAGGGGACTGGACCTGAATCGTTGGATGGAGGGAATTCATAACAAAAAGTCTTTAATGTTTTACTCTGTATACTTAATTACTTTATGCTCTCCCACAACAAGAATGTATTGTATATGGTTTGTTTTTCTTCTTAATCTTAAATTCAGAATATAAGGTAGCCCACTGGCTCTGAGCTACAAGAATCCTTATCGGTTTGGTAGTGCTATGACAACTTTGCACCTGGCTGAACTATCAAGGAGTGTCCTACCACCAAGCATGAGATATTTTTGGCATTCCTGAAATAAATTCTTCTTCTGAGCCAGCTCATGGGGGCATCATAATCTCCTTGAGAGCTTTTGAAAGATCTAGACCTGGAGCCAGGCCCAGGGGTTCATGTCTGTAATCCCAGCACTTTAGGATGCTGAGGAGGGTGGATCACGACGTCAGGAGTTCGATACCAGCCTGGCCAACATAGTGAAACTCCATCTCTACTAAAAACAGAAAAATTAGCTGGGGGTGGTGGCAGGTGCCTGTAATCCCAGCTACTCAGGAGGCACTGAGGCAAGTGAATTGCTTGAACCTGGGAGGCGGAGGTTGCAGTGAGCTGAGATTGTGCCACTGCCCGGCAGCCTGGGTGACAGAGCAAGACTGTCTTGATAATAATGATAATAAAATAAATAAATAATAAGTAATTTAGATTTGAGTCTGTCTCAGAGTCTTGGGCTCAGAACCAGAATTTCTGTGTCTGAGGCTATCATGTCACTCTACGGGAGGAAGAACTGGATCACTGGTTAGCATGGTGACTGTTTTGGACAACACACAGCCACAGCCAAGAACACAGAAGGCAGAGGGGCAGCCTTGATCTGCAAGGGCTCCAGTTAACCCCAATGGGGACCCTTGATGGACAAGGGCATTCTCCCAGGCTTGCTGATGAAAGCGTTCTACTTACAGCCAGGCAAGGCACTCAGGGCTCTGCAGCAGAGAGGTCAGAGCTGCAGCTTTTTTGCTTTGTGTTTTCACTAAACCTTCATTTGTTGTTGCACTTTGTTGAATGGGCGTGTCCCATAGGGGAAGTTTCCACTACTGCGTTCCAAACTTTGGACTGCTTGTGGCATCTTACTTGTTGCCTCATTAATAATGAATTAAATAAAACCTTTAGAATATGCTAATTTCATCTTTACGAGAGTCCCAATTTTACCTTTTTTTTTTTAAGTACCAGTACCTTTTCACGTTGCTATCACTCCCTTACCAGAGCAGTGAGTTTCTGGGTCTCCTTCTTAGGGCCAGACACTGTTCCGTGTCATTAGAATTAATTTATCATTCGTAGGTAGACAAGCAAAAGCTTCCACACTCCCGGAGACAGGGATTCAGATCCTGTACCATCGCTGAGGGTAATGCCGAGGAAGGCACTTCTCTCCCAGCCTCAGTCTGCCCGCCTCTGAAATGGGATCATAACGAACCCCTGACCCCAGGCTTCGCCGCCTAAAGCCAACGCCCACACCCAATCCCTCCCCTTCCCTCCCGGGACCCCAGGAGGCGCGGGGACTCCGGAGGCGGCCCTTTCCCCTGGAGGCGCCTAGGTGGCACGGTCAGCGTCTCAGCTCCTGGGGTCTCTGGGCTCCGAGCTGCCCAAGGGGTGTAGAGGGGCCTCTGGAGGAGGCGGGTTCGCTCCAGCCAGAAAGCCCGGAGCCGCCCAGGATTTTTGGCTCGGACTAAGAGCATTTCCTCCCAGGCCGGCCGGGCGCGATCCGGGGAGGGCGGCTGCGGGCAGACGCGGCGCTGCGCTGGTCCGGGCCGGCAACATGCGGACCCTACTCGGCGCGCTGGCTGGGCTGGCTCTGCTCCGCGCCGCGGGCGCTTTGGCTGGTGAGTGGGGCGCCGGGCGCGGCAGGGGACCCGCAGATGGCGAGGAAGGAATGGGCAAGAGAGAGACAGAGAGAGTTGGACACTACAGCGGGATGGAGAGAGAGGCAGATGCAGGGAGGGAGGGAGGGATGGAGAGAAAGACGGTGAGAGAAAACAGACGCAGAAAGGGCAGAGAAGCAGAGCAACGGAGAGATAAAGAAGAGAGGGAAGAATAAATCGTGAAAAGGAAAAAGGACAGGCCGAGACAGAAAGAGGCTTTGTAGATGAACAGATATGAACTAAGATAGAAAGAAAAAGGAGTTTAAGAGACAGAAGGAAAGAGAAAGAGTGACTAAAATGGGGTGGAGGGAGAGAGGATATTGAAGCAAAGAGAAAGATTTGAGAGAGATCACAAAGGAGAGAGAGGGAAGCTCAATGACGGGAGTAGAGCTGGCAAGAGAGGAGCCAGGATCTGGGGTGGGAGGTCACAGCTGCTGCGTGGGGCAGCCCGGGAGGCCAGCTACATCTCAGAGGGCCTGCGGAGGCTCAGGCCTGGCTTTATAGGACATTGTCTAAGAAGCCAGACTCCAAAGGGTGAGTGACCCAGGCCAGCTCATACAGCCTCAAGGAGCCAGGCAAGCGGGCCCAGGAGAAAGGCCACTGCTTCACCTACCAGGTGGCCTCAGGGGGTGTTGCAGTTGGTGAGGAAGTCAGCCTCCTGGTTTCCAGGGAGCTTCTCTGGGGGACTGAGCTGTTTTGGGTGGAGGTGGAGCCCTGGGTGGAGGTGGAGGGCTTTTCGGGAGGGAGAGGCTCTCTGGGTACTCCATTAGCTGGGTTCCTTGCCTTTTACTCTCCCTTTTCTTTCCCCCACCTCTCCCCTCAGCTTAATGTTGCCCCTTCACAGGTGAGGCTCAGGGTGACTCAAGTCAAGTGACTTACCTGACTGTAGTCTTGACTGTACACGGATGCTCATTCCACCACCCTGCACATTGCACAGGACTCTATAGTTTACAAGCCACGACCCCATTTAGTCAGGGACGGCTATTGCTCACTTTAGTTGTCCAGATGAGGGGTAAGCTCAGTTCTCATGGTGGTGCCAAGGCAGAGCCCTCACGAAACATCCAGGCCTCCTGCCCCCTCAGTCCTTGCCCCCACCCAGGCAGAAGTGCCCTGTGCTAAGATAGAAGCCCCCATCCCCTTTCAGGGCCCAGTGAACTGTGGGAGTGAGCACTTGGGGAAAGGATCCAGGCCAGCCCTTGTGATCCCTTACCTTGGGTGAGTCCTTTCCTTTCTCTGGGGCTATTTCTTCCTCTGTCAGTTGGGGAGAATAATACCCGCCCCACAGGGCTGGCCTCAGGGATTAGACGAGGGAGGAAGTGCCCAGCAGGGAACATGCATCAGCACACATCCTCTCAGATGACTCCACTGATTTCTCTGAGCCTCAGTTTCCCCACCTGTTAAAGATAACCAGCAATGACTTTCTCACAAGCTGTATGAGGAGTGGCTGGGACTCTGCCCAGCATAGAGTAGGGCCCCAGTACACACCCTCTCATCCGCTTCTCCTTTACCCGCCTCCCAGCTCAGCCCCAGGCTCCAGGAGCTGAGGGCACAAAGCAGAGCCTGTGCTTCTCCCAGAGGGAGGAGGGAGTGGCCACTTTTGTAGAGAGAATTCTAACCCATTTTTAAACGTTGTTTTTCTTTCTGATTATGCACGTTCATTGCTACAGATTAAGAAGAAAAGGATTTGGGGAGGCCGAAGCAGGCAGATCACAAGGTCAGGAGTTCAAGACCATCCTGGCTAACACAGTAAAACCCCGTTTCTATGAAAAATACAAAAAAATTAGCCAGGCAAGGTGGCACATGCCTGTAGTCCCAGCTACTCTCAAGGCTGAGGCAGGAGAATCACTTGAACCCAGAGGGCAGAGGTTGCAGTGAGCAGAGATGGTGCCCCTGCACTCCAGCCTGGGTGACAGAGTGAGACTCTATCTCAAAAAAAAAAAAAGAGAGAGAGAAGAAGAAGAAAAGGAGGAAAGTATTCATGATTAATGCAATTTCACACTGACTTCATACGTTTTTGTGCATAATCTTTCAGATTTCAGATATCTTTTTTTATTTTTTGAGACGCAGTTTCACTCTTGTTACCCAGGCTGGAGTGCAATGGTGCTATCTCAGCTCACCGCAACCTCTGCCTCCTGGGTTCAGGCAATTCTCCTGCCTCAGCCTCCCGAGTAGCTGGGATTACAGGCACGTGCCACCGTGCCCAGCTAATTTTTTGTATCTTTAGTAGAGACGGGGTTTCACCATGTTGACCAGGATGGTCTCGATATCTTGACCTCGTGATCCACCCGCCTCGGCCTCCCAAAGTGCTGGGATTACAGGCGTGAGCCACCGCGCCCGGCCTCAGATATCTCTTAACTTTTGATTATGAAAACTGTTGGATACAAAAAATACAAAATAATAGTATATGAAAGAATCACATAATGTACTTATCAACCCTGCTTCAACAAGTTTTAGTTCATGGGCAGTGTTATCTCATCTACAGTCCTCACCCCCTCCCCTCCCTGGATTATGGAATCCAGGCATTGTATTTTCTTTCTTTCTTTCTTCTTTCTTTCTTTCTTTCTTTCTTTCTTTCTTTCTTTCTTTCTTTCTTTTTCTTTCTTTCTTCTTTCTTTCTTTCTTTTTCTTTCTTTCTTTTTCTTTCCTTCCTTCTTTTGTGCAACAGGATCTCATTCTGTCACCCATACTAGAATGCAGTGGTGCAATCTCAGCTCACTGCAACCTACGCGCCCCCAGGTTCAAGTGATTCTCCTGCCTCAGCGTCCCGAGCAGCTGGGACTACAGGCATCCACCACCACACCTGACCAATTTTTGTATTTTTAGTAGAGACAGGGTTTCACCATGTTGGCCAGCCTGGTCTCGAACCCCTGGGCTCAAGTGATCCACCTGCCCTGGCTTCCCAAAGTGCTGGGATTACAGGTGTAAGCTACCACGCCTGGCCTGATATCATGTATTTTCTTTCTTTCTTTTTAGAGACAGGGTTTCACCATGTTGTTCAGGCTGATCTTGAACTCCTGACCTTATAATCCACCTGCCTCAGCCTCCCAAAGTGCTGGGATTACAGGTGTGAGCCACCGCGCCCGACCCATATATTTTCATCTATAAATATTTCCTTGTGTATCTCTAAGAGATAAGCACTCTTTTAATAAACCTAACTGCAATGCCACGGTCGCACTCCAAAAAGCGTGTGTGATTGAACATCATTAAATATTCAATCACTGTTCAAATGTCTTTGATTGTGTCATGTCTTTTGACAATTCATTTGTTTGATCCAAATAAGGTTACATAAACTGCATTTGGTCAATATGTCTATTAAGTCTCTTTAAATATGTAAGTCTTCTCCCTGCTGCCCCCCCTTTTTTTTTAGATGGAGTCTCGCTCTGTCTGGAGTGCTGTGGCTCAATCTCAGCTCACTGTAACCTCCGCTTCCCGGGTTTAAGTGATTCTCCTGCCTCAGCCTCCTGAGTAGCTGGGACTACAGGTGCGCACCCTGACACCCAGCTAACTTTTGTATTTTTAGTAGAGACAGGGTTTCACCATGTTGGCCAGGATGGTCTTGATCTCCTGAACTTGTGATTCACCCACCTCGGCATCCAAAAGTGCGGAGATTACAGGCCTGAGCCACCATGCCCAGCTTTTTTTTTTTTTTTTTTTTAACTTAATTTTTTGTTGTTGTTGAAGAAACTAAGTTTGCTCTGTAAAGTTTTCCACATTTAGATTTTGCTAATTGCATCCCTTTGATGTCATTTAAATACCTCCATCCCTTATATTTTCTGTAAATTGAGATCTATCTCTTGCTTGTCCGACTTTCAACCCTGGTTTATTTTATTTTATTTTATTTTTGAGACAATCTCATTCTGTCACCCAGGCTGGAGTGCAGTGGTGCAATCTCGGCTCACCACAACCTCTGCCTCCCACGTTCAAGCAATTCTTGTGCTTCAGCCTCCTGAGTAGCTGGGATTATAGATGCCGTACCAGCACGCCCAGCTAACTTTTGCATTTTTTAGTAGAGATGGGGGTGGGGGTGGAGGTGGGTTTCACCATATTGGCCAGGCTGGTATCGAACTCCTGACATCAAGGGATCGGCCAGCCTCTGCCTCCCAAAGTACTGGGATTACAGGTTGTTAGCCACCACGCCCAGCCCCAGTCTTGGTTTCTTTTAGCAGCACTCAGAGAAACCTTTATTCCCTGATGGCGTTTTAGACCATCAGCTACGATGCCAGACCCACATTTTGGAGTTTTTTATAGAATCATTTGAAGAATAGTGTTCTGCTGCTTTCAAAAATAACCAAAACCCATGGATGGTTTTGAATGAATCATACATCTTTATACAAGTATTGGATGTAGTAAAGTTTATTATTCTATTACATTGAATGTGGTCAAATATAATTAACCCCCAAGTGTCCAGGGTTGCTTCTCAAAGCAGACCCTTCAAAGAGTGTGACTTTGATAATTCAGAAGATACAGCAACACCTTTCAGAGACGCCACTGAGAAAACATTTCTCATTGCCCAACATGCAGAAATCATCTGCGTTGTGGCACTTTCTTACTGTTTGGGTTCAGATACAAAAGGTCTCCCCATAAGGCCAGGAAGTAGAGGGAGCAGTACTTCAGCCTCAGAGGATGGCACCCAGGGGCCACATCTCTTTAACTGGGGCAGCCAGCCCAGCCCAGCCTCCCCTGGGGCCTCCTGGCTCCACAGCAGCCTGTTCTCACCAGCACAGGATGCCCCGCCCGTGGCCACTATCCAGGGTGCACATCAGGCCCGGAGCAGGAGCTAGGCCAGTGAAAACAACGCAGCATCCAAGGAGGTCCATTTTCCAACTGGCAGGGCCCAGGAGGGTGGGAGGAAAGGAAGGAAGGGAGCCCTGTGGGGCCACAGCCTTGGCTGCTCAGGGTTAATCATCAGAATCCTTCAGCCTTTTCCACTCCCCTTGTCTGAGCCACTGACAGCCCTATGGGTGCATGTGTGACTACTAATTTTTTTTTTTTTTTTTTTTACTTTTATTTTTACAAGACAGGGTCTTTGTCGCCCAGGCTGGAGAGCAGTGGTGCAATCGTAGCTGACTGTAGTCTCAAACTTCTGGGACCACAAGCATATGCCACCAATCCTGTCTATTTTTTTTCCTAGAGAGAGAGTCTTAATATGTTGCCCAAGTATGGTCTCAAACTCCTGGCTTTAAGTGATCCTCCTGCCTCGACCTCCCAAAGCTCCGGGATTACAGGTGTGAACCACTGAGCTCAGGTCTTGTAGCTCATTTTTGAGGCCTCTCTGTGGACTCCGAATGACAGACAAGAAGAATTAAGGATGAGCTACACGGGGAAGTGAGGGCCTCAGGCCGACCTCATCCTATTTTTTGGAGGAGGCGGCAAAGGCTCAGGGAGAAGAAACTCTCACAATCCCACAATCATTAGTGGCTGAACCAGGCTGAGAACAGGGGTCTCCAGCATGTTTTCTGCCACGATGCATTCAAGTCAGCTCTGTGGGGAGGACCTGGTGGGGAGGGAGCAGGCAGTACAGTGTCAGGCTCTGCTCCAAGCTTGCTCTCTCAGATGTACTCCGTGGAGGCCCCGATGAGCTCATGGACAGTCGCTCCAAGGGGCACAGAGCACAGTTTTGTCCAGATGTGAAGGATTAGCGCTGAACCACATGGGGAGCAACCTCAGCCCCGCCTTTTCCCTGGAGGGGATTGGGAGCCAAGTTAGACCTCATTACAGACTCTAGAGAACAGGGTGTTCAGGTCAGTGGAGAGGAGCAGGCTCTAGTTGTTCTTGACTTCCAACGCAGCCTGACTCCCACTTGGCCAGCAGGGTCACACTGTATCCTTCTGGCCTGAGCCTGGGAGAAGTGTGTGAGGGGAGAGTGGCTGGGGTCTGGGGGAGGGCAGGTGAGGCTCAGGGGAAAGGCCTGGCCAAAGGCCTCTGGACAGAGCCAGCAGGTGGTGTGTGTATCCACAGACGCATGATGACAGGCCCCCCAGGACAGCCACTCTGTGGGTGAGAACAGCTCTTCCGGCCCCCTCAGAGCTTTTCCTCTCAAAGTTGATCAGCCCAGTTTCAGCTGAAACAATTGAGTTAGAATTTGGAGTCCCAGACTGAGTGCCATGGCTCACGCGTATAATACCAGCACTTTGGGAGGCCAAGGAAGGTGGATCACTTAAGCCCAGAAGTTTGAGCTTAGCCTGGGCAACGTGGTGAAACCCCATCTCTACAAAAAATACAAAACTTAGCCAGGCATGATAATGTGTGCCTGTAGTCCCAGCTACTCTGGAGGCCGAGGTGGGAGAGTTGCTTGAACCCGGGAAGCAGAGGTTGCGGTGAGCCATGATTGTGCCGCTGCACTTCAGCCTGGGTAACGGACTGAGACCCCATTAAAAATAAATAAGAAGTCTCTTTCCCATAGCCTCTTCTAGACCTGCTCCTGCCTCTCAAGGGCCTTCTCAGGATGTGGGGCCAGGATGGAGCATAGCCCCCAGGTGGAGCCTCTCTCTCTGAATATTTTACATGGATGCCTGCAGCCCACGATGGCTACTGCTTTCTGCTGACAACCCCATCAGACAGCTGGCTTTTATTATGGAACATTTCAAACCACACTCACAACAGTAGAGAGAAAAGCCGAATGTACCCCTACATGCTCATCATCCAGCTCCAATAATTAGCAACTCTCAGCCCATCTTGTTAGCTCTAAACATCCACTCAGGCCTCTCCCCCATCCCCACCCACGCCTGGATTATTTGGAAGTAAATCCAAGACAGCATAACATTTCATCAGTAAATATTTCAGTATGGGTCTTTAAAAGACTCGCCTTAAAAAAATAACCAAGGCACCATTATCATGTCCTCCTCCCTCCCCAAATTCAGGAATAACACCATTATCTTTTGAAGAGTCTTTTCTAAGTTTAGTGGAGGGAAATAATGAAAAGGAAAATTTGAAAAACAGATTGTTCTCCACAAAAGATGCTCAGATTGGAAGGACGTTTTGTCCCTGGTCTTGTTCTTATCCCTGAGTGGAAGAGCTGAGATCTAGATAGAGTTGGAATTAGAAAATCACAAGGCAGGGGGCCCTACTTTGATGAGTTGAAGCCAGGAGGTCAGGGTGCCTGAGGTCCAGGCATTTACTGATGGTGTGAGCTTGGGCAAGTCACTTGGCCTCTCAGAGTTACACATCCGTCACCAGCTCTGTCCTATCTCAAGACCTGCCCCCCTTCTAGACAAGTGCAGATGGCCCCTTGGCCAACCCATCCAACACCAAGGCCTTAAGCTACAAGCATTGCACCTAGAGAGCTCAAGCTCCGTAACTCTCTCCCCACACTGAGCTTTGTATGCCCACATCCATGGCCACAGCCTTGATATTGTCACTATCTGAAGCCACTCTACCTGTAAAAGCAAAAATTGCAACATTCTTTACCTCCTGTTCCTCCTGTGATTCCTAAGACCTCCAGTCTCTTCAGCCCCCCACTTCTCCCAGCTTATCGGCCCTCTTCTTGGCCTCATTTCCTTCCTTATCCCCGCTGGATTCCAGGGCTCCTCTCCTAAACCTGGCTGGTCAAATCTCAGCTCCTTGGCCCCTTGCCTCCACCACATCCACCCTGCAGACTCCATCCAGCCATCTGTCTTTGCTGCTGTGCGCCTAGACTGTGGAGCACTGGTGGGGGAGGACTCACACTTCCAGGATCCCTTGTTGATGCCGGCTCATTCTGCATGGTCCTCCTACCCTGCCTCCCTCATTCTGCACATCCCCTTTTGAAGCCCTTTATTCAAGTCCCTTTCCTGGTGGTGCACTGATGGACTGGCTCTCAAAAAGTAAAAAAGGCAGGTGGGGTTGGTGATTTCTGTGGTGTAAATCATCATGGCCACCGTTTTTTTTTTTTCTTTTTACTTAAAAATTTTTTTCTCTTGAGGGATGGGGTCTCAGTGTGTTGATCAGGCTGGTTTCAAACTCCTGGCCTCAAGTGATCCTCCCACTCAGCCTCCCAAAGTGCTAGGATTAAAGGCACAAACCACCATTTCCAGCCACCACGGTCACTATTTTAACATCTGTGTTTAGTAACCTACTCATAGGATTCTTGAAATTTTAACAACTAGCTCTGTTCCCTACGTGTTCTCTGTCTTACTGCACAGAGTGAACAGAGCCCATCAGGCAGGAGCTCACTCCACTTTCTGGCCCTCTAGTTAGATGGTTTACCTCTGCCCATTTGTGCTGCATTTCTTCTGTCTTCCTTCCAAATGTGTTCCCACCCTCTCTGGATCCAGGGCCTCCCGTCAATTCAGGAAGAGCATTCCTTTGCTTCTCCTGTCTTCCTTTTGTCCCTCAGGCTGTAAACATCATTGTGTTTTCCAATGATTAACACACACACACACACACACACACACAATCTTCTCTAGACCTTGTGATCAATCTCCTTTCCTTCATAGCCAAGCTTTGTGAAATTTTCCAGAATCCAAGTTTCTATCCCCAGCCTCACCTTCCCTTCTCATCTTACCATAATCCAAACTCTGCTTTTCCTCCACCACTCCTGGGGTGACATCTAACAAGGTCCTTTCCCATGCTCTTTTTCTAGTCCTTATCTTGCTAGACCTCCTCACTGCTTTCGACCATGCTGACCTTTTTCATCTCTGCAGAATCTGTAAAGCTTGGCTGCTCTTGACCTCTGGGGCAGCACCCTTCTTCTTGAGTGTCAGTGTTCTCCAAGGTTCCAGCCAACTCTGATGCCCCAAAGGCATCTCAGGGTTACCAACTCTGAAGCCTGAGCTTGGAGTCCAGGCTCTTAGACTTCTGCGGTGAGGGTTGATGGTGCCTGGAAGAGCTAACTCGAGGAGAACAATGGAATGGCAGATCCTCTGCTTATGAGTAGTGAGTTTGGACACATACTTTCACCCCTCTATGCATCAGTTTTCTTACGTGTAGATTGGGCATAACAACAGGTTGTTGGAGAGGTTAACACCCTACGTGGTGCATGGTAAGCGCTCATCACATGCCAGCTGTTACTAATGGGTCCCAGTGTCAATGCTGCTAATGAAATACCTCCTCTCACTTTTATCCTCACATTCCTACAGCTACTGCCTCTGCCCATCCCTTCTCCTTCATCCCTCTTACCCTGATTGCTGCAGTAACTCCCTGCCTTCAAAGGCATCTCCCTCCAGTCTATTCCTTATATTTTAAAAATTCATGTTTGACTCTGTGACTCTTGTGTTAAAATAACCCCCCTTGGCTGGGTGTGGTGGCTCACGCCTGTGATTCCAGCACTTTGGGAGGTCAGAAGTTTGAGACCAGCCTGACCAACATGGTGAAACCCCATCTCTACTAAAAATACAAAAATTAGCCAGGCATGGTAGCAGGTGCTTGTAATCCCAGCTACTTGGGAGGCTGAGACAGAAGAATCACTCGAACCCGGGAGGTGGAGGTTGCAGTGAGCCCAGATTGCCCCGCAAACATGCATCAGAACTGATTTATTAAAGCCTCTGGGCTAAAGCTCTGCCCCCTTGGTTTGATTTCCAGGATTTCCCTGTCCAGTCTGTCTCCCGACCACCCTGTATCTCCAGCCACTGCAGGCTCCCTGCAGGGTTTGTACACTGAGCCATGCTCTTTCAGGCCTCTCTGTCATTGCAGTTGCCATTCTCCCCGGGTGGAGCCCGTCTTCCCTTCCTCCCTGGGCTTCACCTCCTTGAGGAAGTCCATGTGGGTCTGTAGGTGACTGGTGGGATTGAGATGGCTGGCACTCACACACCGACCCCACAGGGCCTTCCTCTACTTGCTGTTGCATTTGCTTTGGGGACCAACCTCACTTGAGCCCAGTGTTTACAGGAGTATCTGGCATGATGGCAAACCAAGGGCCCCACAGTGACAAGACTTGTTTCCCCACAGCTGCAGAACCCTTCAGCCCTCCCCAAGGAGACGCAGCTCAGAGCACAAAGTGTGACAGACACATGGCTGTGCAACGCCGTCTGGTTGTCGTGGAGGAGGTAACAGCGTGGTTTGGAAGGACATGCGGGGTCAGGACCACCTTCTAAGACTGGGGTTTTTTTTGAGAGGGAGCTTTGCTTTTGTTGTCCATGCTGGAGTGCAATGGCACGGTCTCGGCTCACCACAGCCTCTGCCTCCCGGGTACAAGAGGTTCTCCTGCCTTAGCCTCGCAAGTAGCTGGAATTACAGGCATGTGCCACCACGCATAGCTGATTTTATATTTTTAGTAGAGATGAGGTTTCTCCATGTTGGTCAGGCTGGTCTCAGACTCCCAACTTCAGGTGATCCGCCCACCTCCTCCCCCGAAAGAGCTGGGATTACAGGGGTGAGCCACCAGGCCTGGCCTAGGATGGTGTTTTTATGGGCAGATGCAAGCTTGCTTTGGAACGTCAGGCCATACAGGCCAATCTTGCACTGTGGCTGCCTTGTCCAACATCACCCTCCCATCTAGGCTGTCAGGCTGTCCAGCCCCCAATGGACCCTGCTTCTCCTAAGGCCTTACTTGCTCCCATGCAGATATTTCAGCATCAGTACTGGATGGGAAGGTAGAAATTCAGTCACTATTTTGTTATTTAGCCATGATTCCTAACGTGTGGAAAAAAGCTTGCATTTGTATTGTTGCAAGCCTTTAACTGAAATTGAGCATTCCCGTTCCTCATAAATACAGACAGCAAGCAGTGGTATTAACAGTACTATAGCTTGGTCATCAAGAGAAATCCAGATCATTTCATCTTGTTCTAGTTATGAATATCTCAACACATTATTTATAACCTTCCTATGTCAACTTTTCTGTTGTTCTTAGGCCTGATGTTAAATCATGTGACTTAATAAATACATTTTTTTTTGAAGCATTGTCTCCCTGTTACCCAGGATGGAGTACAGTGGTGCAGTCTCACCTCACTGCAACTTCCGCCTCCCAGGCTCAAGCAATCTTCCCACCTCAGCCTCCCAAGTAGCTGGGACTACAGGTGCATGTACCACCATGCCTGGCCAATTTTTGTATTTTTTTTTTTTTTTTTTTGGAGAAGTGAGATTTTGCTACGTTTCCCAGGCTGGTCTTGAACTCCTGAACTCAAGCCATCCGCCCACCTCGGCCTTCCAAAGTACTGGAATTACAAGCATGAGTCACTATGCCTGGTCAATACGTATATTATATCCAAAAGTTTAAATTTTTATTTTACAGAGTCCTGCTCTGTTACCCAGGTGGAATTCATGGTTCAATCTCAGCTCACTGCAGCCTCTGCCCCAGGGTTCCAGTGATTCTCATGCCTCAACCTCCCGAGTAGCTGGGACTACAGACATGCACCACCATGCCCAGCTAATTTTTTGTATTTTTGGTAGACATGGGGCTTCTCCATGTTGGCCAGACTGGTCTCAAACTCCTTACTTCAAGTGATCTGCCCGCCTCAGCCTGGGATTACAGGTGTGAGCCACTGTGCTGAGCCAAAACGTTTAATTTTTAATAATGAATAATATTTTAATGCAATCGATGCCCCTGGTAATTCTATATGCTTTATTTTTTGCATTTAAGGCATTATTCTGAGAAGAGGTCTGTAGGCTTCATCACACTGCCAGTGGGGTCCATGGCATACACGGGGAAAAAATAACTATTGAGAACCCTGAGTAAATTTCAAAATCCCAAATCTGTCATTCAGCAGAGACACCACCAGGGAGCAGAGCAACAAAAGAAATGTGAGCGCCAGGCTGCAAAGTCCCAAAAGGGAGAAGGTATTCTAAAGGCGTTTCACCCCAACCTGTGACTGAGTGCCAAAAAGGAAGGAGCCTTAGAGAGCGAGCCCGCTAGGATATTGTCATCTGGGGAAACTGAGGCAGGTAGGGGCAGAGCCTGAGTGAGGAAAATCAGTTCCTGCAGCGCCCAGTCCTTTCCCACTGCACCCCGCTGGACCGCTAGCTGCTCCTTAGGGCCTAGCTGATGAAGCGGAGTGCGGCACCACTCCTGTCCTCGACTTGACCCCCTTCCCATAATAGATGGTAGAGAAGACCGTGGAGCACCTGGCGACAGAGGTGAAAGGCCTGCTGGGCCTGCTGGAGGAGCTGGCCTGGAACCTGCCCCCAGGACCCTTCAGCCCGGCCCCCGACCTCCTCGGAGAAGGTGAGCAGTGCAGGTGGCAGAGGAAAGCCTCTGAACTGCTGTCATCTGGGGCTGGACAGTGGCGGGGGGGCTGCTCCACCACACAGATGTAGGCTGGACAGCAGGGAGGGCCCCAGCGCCCCCGGAGACGGAAGCGGGACGGCACCACCCCTCCTCCCCAACCCATACCCGGTCGCTGCCGCCCAGTGTCAAGACGAAATTCGGGAAGAGCCGGCCCTAGATACCATCTCCGCACACCCCAGCGAGGAGAAGCTGCCTCCTTCACTGGCCTTCTCCGGACTAAAGCTCCTCAGCTCCTTTCATTTCCCCCTTAGAAGCCCCTCCTGTTCCACCCCAAAACCCTCAGGGAAGACGGCACCCCACTGATCAGGCAGGGATGGAGTTGCACTTTGCTCTCTCCTTGATCCCCGTGTCCCGGGGGACCGGGGAGAGGAGGGAAGAAACTGTTGGGCAGCACAGGCCAGGGACCCTGCAGCACCCCAGCTTGCTCACTGGAGGCCGCCGCTTTCTTTCAGATGGTTTCTGAGCCCCGGAGCTGGAGCCCAGCAGCTGGAGGTGGTGCCCTTGCCAGGCAGCACCCTCTGAGAGCCAGCCCTGTCCGCTCGCCTTCCTTCCGCAGCTTCGTGTGCAATAAAAGCTCCTCCTTCTGTCTCCTCTGTGTCTGCTGACAGAGTAACCCGTTTAACTACAGCCCCCTCTCCCTCCACTTCCATGCCTGGAGGAGGCCTGCAACCCCCCCCCCCAGGCTCAGACCTGGGGACACCCCCATTCCCGCCATCTGTGCTTTAGTCCTCCTTAATTACAGGAGCAGATGAGCAGGGGTTGATTCACAGAGGTGGGGGCTCTTCGAGTGGTCTTGCGTCTCAAAATGTGGCCATAGGTGAAAAGCAAGGGGATCAGGGTCTCAGGCCCCACCCAGACTTCTTAATCCAAATCTGCTTTGCAATGAGACCCCCAGGGAATTTATGTGTCCATTAAAGTGGTTTGTTGTTTTTTAAAAAAAAATTCCTATGAAGTGAAATTCAATGTAAAATTCATCATTTTAACCATTTTAAATTGTACAAGGCTGGGGGAAGTGGTTTACACCTATAATCCTAGCACTTTGGGAGGCCAAGGTGGGAGGTTCACTTGAGCCCAGGATTACGAGGCCATCCTGGGCAACATGGTGAAACCCTATCCCTGCAAAAAATACAAAAAATAGACTGGCATGGTGGCATGTGCCTGTAGTCCCAGCTACTCAGGAGGCTGGGGTGGAAGGATCACCTGAGCCCAGGAGGTCAAGGCTGTGGTGAGCCATCATGGTGCCACTGCACTTCAGCCTGGGTGACAGAGTGAGACTTTGTCTCAAAAAGAAAAAATCATACAAATGCAGTGGCTTCCGGTACATTCACAAGTTGTCAGTCATCACCACCAGTTTCAGAATACTGTTCTCACTCTAGAAAGAAACTCTGTACCTGTTATGCAGTCACATCCCATTCCCGATCCCCCAACCCCCTGGAAACCACCGATCTCTGTCGCCATGAACTTGCCTATTCTGGACATTTTAAATGCAGTAGCCCGCTTTATCTGTGGTTTCACTTTCCATGGTTTCAGTTACCTGCAGTCAACCACAATCCTAAAATATTAAACTCAAGAAATAAACAACATATGAGTTTTCAGTTGTGCATCATTCTAAGTGGTGTGATGAAATCTCTCACCATCCCCCTTTGTCCCACCCCGGACATGAACGCTTCCTTTATCCACCATGGTCCACGCTGTCTACACTTCCTGCCTGTTAGTCACTTAGCAGCCTTCTCAGTTACAGATCAACCGCCACAGTATCACAGGGCTTGTGTTCCAGCAACATTTCTTTTACTTAATCAAGACCCAAAGTTCAAGAGCAGTGTTGCTGGCATATGGTGGTGGTTTTCCATGCAACTTTCCCGTCACAGAAGCTGGCATATTGTTCTAATTGTTCTATTTTGTTCTTAGCTATCGTTGCTAACCTCTTACAGTGCCTGATTTATAAATTAAACTTTATCGTAGATATGCATGCAAAGGAAAAAACATAGTATGATAGGATTAGATATATTGTGGTTTCAGGCATCCACTAGAGGTGTTGAAATGTATCCCCTGAAGGTAAGGGGGTACTACTGTAAATAGAATCATACGATACGTAGCCTCACTGTATCTGGCTTCTTTCTCTGATCATGTTTTCAAGGGCTGTCCGTATTGCAGCATGTATCAGTACTTCATTCCTTCTTATGGATGAATAATGTTCTCTTGTATGAATATACCACATTTTATTCATTTATTCATCAACTGATGGACATTTGGGTTGTCTGTACTTTGGCTTTATGAATAATGTTGCTATGAACATCCATATACGAGTTTTTGTGTCAATATTTGCTTTTTTTATTTGTTTGGGGTCTATATGTGAGAATGAAATTGCTGAGTTCAGTTTTTAGCCCTATGACCATAGTAAGATAGTTTTTCCCCCTCATCTGCTTCCAGTAAGTTCATTATGTGGAGTATCTGTGAGCCTCTTTCTGTTTTCTACTGTTTATGCTTACTCTTATTTTATCTCTTGCTGTGCTTGGTTATCTTTGATGGAGTGTTGAAAACTGTACTTGAAGAATTGATTGGAGTAATTTTAATACTAGGATGATATCATCTTCCTTTAGAAAGGATTTTCATTTACCTTTGCAAATGTGTGGGAACATTAGCAATCCAGGACCACTGCAATCCATTTTAGTGCTTGAGATTTTTCTGCATCACCCAGACTTCTTGAAACTGAGCTACGGTAAAGGGGAAGGCTAGTTTACTTTTTGTTTACTTTTACTTTCAGGGTGCAGTCAATGAAAATTCCACCTCTAAAGTATGGGGTGGTTTTCCAAAATTACCCCACCCTTGGAAAGGCCGAGCCTCCTCAATATTTTTTAATCACTTTTTGTGATTGACAAAAGTACCCCAAATGCTGAGATCTTCTCTCTGGATTTCTACCAAGGGATATTGCTACTTGTCAGCTTTTTGATGTTTTAGAAAGAAGCTTTTTGTTTGTTTTTGTTTTGTTTTGAGACAGAGTCTCAACTCTGTTGCCTGGGCTGGTACAATCTTGGCTCACTGCAGCTTCCACCTCCTGGGTTCAAGCAATTCTCATGCCTCAGCCTCCCAAGTAGCTGAGACTACAGGCATGTGCCACTGTGCCTGGCTAATTTTTTTATTTTTAGTAGAGACAGGGTTCTGCCATGTTAGTCAGGCTGGTCTAGAACTCCTGGCCTCAAGTGATCCACTTGCCTTGGCCTCCCAAAGTGCTGGGATTATAGGTGAATCTCCATGCCTGGCCAGAAGCTTTTTATATTCCATATGGATTACTTTAGTTGTCTTTGGTGGGAGGGTATTCCAAATTATATAAATAATTAACTATTTATATTAATTAATTATATAAATATATTAAATAGTTAACTATTTCTGCATTGACGAATAGCTTGTTATCACTTTGGGGGACTGATGAATGCAGGAAGACAAATACCACAGATGATCTGCAATCATATTTGATATTACAAAGTAGACTGGTTTTCAGTATTTTTCTTGTAATTCAATACTATGGGCTTTGTACTCTGGTTTCTCTTCAGGTCGCATAAATCTTTCGCCTTTTAGTAAAGATTTCCATGGAGACGAACAATTCTGAGTCTTTATCCAATTGTTTGAGACCTTGTTTCAGCAAGGCCACATGTAAAAACTAATTTAAAAAAATACTGTGGGCTTCAAAACTGTACATAATCATTTGCTTCAAAATTTCTGATCCCAGAAAGCTGGCCTATTGAATTAATATAATTAATTATAGATATTTGAAATTATTCATTTATAAGGGAATTTTTAACAAAACTGATAATTAATAGAAGACTAGTTAAAATAAAATAGGCTTTTCCCATAGGATAAGATATTGTACAGCCATTAATACTATAGGATATATCTATATGGCATAGATGAGTCATGCCATAGTGAGAATTGAAACTAGCCAATCATAATATGACCCCTTTTAATATATTTACATATGCTAGAAATATTCCTGAAAATATATTGACTAAGTGGTTATCACAGGGTGGTGAGATAACTAGTGCTTTTATCTACTGCTTTTTGCTTTTTAGTATTTTTATAATTGTGAAAATTATATTTTTATGAATGAACATGTACTTTTGTAATGGAAAGTGAATTACAAGATAAAATGCTACAAATGAAGCCAGATGTTTTTATTATGTTGTGTTGGAACATTTATCAGTGTAAATAGCCTATCATTTAGATTGAAGAAGTCTTTTTGAATATCTAATACATGTCAGCCTCTTTTATACATATATTTTCACTATGCTTATAAGTGCTCAAGTTTCAGTCACAATATAGTCATTAGTAATTGAAGCAATCTGGACTCTGTTCAAAACGAAGTCAAGTGGACAGGTTGATTTGTGCAAGGTGAAGGGTATGATTTTCATAGTCAGCAAATTCCTCCAACAAAGGCCAGATATTGGGCAAGGTGAGCTCTTCCAGACATTATAATTTATCCTAATAGGATAGATGTCAAGTGATTAAAATTGCATAAATATTGTAAAAATGGGTAATATGAGAATGGAAAAATAACAGCAATATTCATACCCTCTACTGCAGCAATAGTTAACATCTTGGAATATGCAGATGATTGGATTATTGATTCCAACCATCTGCTTCCTTCCCTGTAGGAGGATTATATATGTGACCTGAAGTGTCTTTCCAAAGGTAGAGTGTAGTTCTTTGACCTGCTTTGGCCAATAGGACATGAACAGCAGTAATATCCACCACAGATGAGCCAAACCTTTAAGAGCCATTAGATATTTCAGCTCCGTCCCCTGTTGTTTCCTTTCGCCACAAGAATAACATGTCCTAAAAAGGGGCTGCTCCTTCAGGCTAGTCCTGGAATGAGATGATACATGAAGCAGAGCCATCACCACTGATTTGCAGACACCAACATGCAATGCAAATGAGAAATAAATGTATATTATAGTAAGACATGAGATTAGGTGTGGGGAGGTGCTGTTTGTTATCACAGTAAAGCTGACTAATACATTGTTTCCTCAAAAATACCATAGCAGCTTCACTTAACTGACTCTCCAGATTGACACATATTCTCCTTTCCTTCCTTTTTTTTTCTAACTCTGTTGCCCAGACTGTAGTGCTGTAGTGCAATCATAGCTCACTGCAGCCTCAACCTCCTGGGCTCAAGCAGTCCTCCCACCTCAGCCTGCCAAGTAGCTGGGACTACAGGCATGTGCCACCATACCCAGCTAATTTTTTTTTTTTTTTTTGAGATAGAATCTTGCTCTGTCACCCAGGCTGGAGTTCAGTGGCGCAGTTTCAGTTCACTGTAACCTCTGCCTCCTAGGTTCAAACAATTCTCCTGCCTCAGCCTCCCAAGTAGCTGGGATTATAGGCGAAAGCCACGACATCTGGTTAATTTTTGTATTTTTAGTAGAGACAAGATTTCGCCACGTTGGCCAGGTTGGTCTCTATTCCCTGACCTCAGGTGATTCACCTGCCTTGACATCCCAAAGTGTAGGATTACAGGTGTGAGCCACCATGCCTGGTCAGCTAATTTTTAAATTTTTGGTAGCAATGGGGTCTTACTATGTTGCCCAGGCTGTTCTTGAACTCCTGGGCTCATGTGATCCAGCCTCAGCCTTTCAAAGTGCTGGGATTACAGGCATGAGCCACTAAGCCCATCCCTCTTTTCTGTCTTTAAAACCTAATTGACAATGTCCATGGCTCACTACATACTCAAAGCTGGTAAGACACGCTCTAGCATGGGTGCTCACTGCTGCCTGATTAACTGACCAAGTGTAAGTCCTGATTCCAGATCAAGACAGGTGAGAGGGCTGCACTATAAACCAGTTCGAGTTCTGGAGTGGTTGGCTTTGATGTAGTATCACATGAGAGCTTGGGAAGACCCAAGACCAGAGCCCAACTCTGCCTTTAGTATGTGTGTGCCTTGGTCAAATTACTAATACAGACACCAACATTGAGAGTTATTATTTCTCAAAGAAACTCTCAGTCAAGAGGCAATTGTTATCTAGTCTTTATTATGCTTCTCATACTACAATTGCCTAAGTTTATTTATATTTGTTATTTATTTTCTTTTTCTTTAAAATTTTTTTCTTTTTTTATGAAGATGGGGTTTCACCATGTTGATCAGGCTGGTCTTGAACTCCCGACCTCAGGTGATCCACCTTGGCTTCCAAAGTGCTTTCATTACAGATGTGAGCCACCATGCCTGGCCTATTTATTTATTTTTTGAGATGAAGTTTCGCTCTTGTTCTTGTTGCCCAGGCTGGAGTGTAACGACGCAATTTCGGGTCGCCGCAACCTCCGCCTCCCAGGTTTAAGTCATTCTCCTGCCTCAGCCTCCCAAGTAGCTGGGATTACAGGCATGTGCCACCATGCCCATTTAATTTTGTATTTTTAGTAGACATGGGATTTCTCCATGTTGGTCAGGCTGGTCTCGAACTCCCAACCTCAGGTAATCTGCCCACCTCAGCCTCCCAAAGTGCTGGGATTACAGGCATAAGCCACATCACCTGGCCTACAATTACCTAAGTTTAAAAACCGAACTTTTGCAAATATTTTATTGTATTTGTTTTTTTACTATGGAGGA